ATCACAGCAAGGTAAATGGAAAGCACAGTGAAATGAGATGCCTCCGATCTGTAAAATAAGTACATTTTCATCAAGCCAACCAAAATGTAAATAATTAAAAAAAACCCAAGTCTTAATTATGCTATAAATTGACTTTGACCTGCCTTTTCGGTCTGACGTGCTCTGTAGGAGGCTTGTGTCTGGTCCAGCCGTGCTGGTGTGTGTGAGCTGTGTACTTCCCTGCCATGGGTAGGTGGGTACACTTTTGCCTTTGACTTTCTCAAGTTGGCATAGCCTGGTAGCTCTGACGTGTGTGTTCATGTGCATGCTTATTGTGCTTGCCAGCGGTACCATGTTGCTTCTAAGTATATCTGCTAAGGCCCATGGACATGCCCTTATCTGGTGTGGCACAGACAAGCATACCTTCTGTACAGGCAAGAGCTGTGTATCTCATATGTGGTGGGGAACTTCCAACACACTTCCCATGCTGCACTTTGGTATGGGAGCCTCGTGGGCTGTGGTTTCCAGTAGGGCTGGCCATACTGTGCCAGTTCATGTACTCCCCAGTGGGTGGCCAGCCACCTGCAGAATAGGGATGCCTTTAGACACTGCTAGGCACTCTGGAGGAGGTACATGATAAGAACTGAGGTATTTCCCAATAAAAAAAATCTAAAAAAAGTTTGAATGGAGGTAACCCTACATAGGGTGGACAAAACCGTGCTTCACCTAGCCTAAGACATGGGTTTTAAATGAAAACCCCAGTGCCAGCTGTAGGATGATTCCCTGACTTAGGCCCAGAGGCTCCTCAAGCAACTCAAGCTTGCTTTTGATTGTCTACCATAACTAGATGGTGAGACTTTATTGCTGAAGACAAAACACACTTTGGTTGTAGGACACAGAGGAATCAAGATGGAGGTGCCCTGAAAACTACTTTTCTGGCTTGATTTTATAGTACCAGAAGGTGCCGTCCAGGCAGCTGCAGGAGAAAAGCCATCAGTAGACTTACCCAGTGACAGGCCCGCATTCTATAATACCAGCTGTGCTGGATAGCTTTAGTTGCCAGCTTGATACACCAGGGTAGAGGGAGCCTCAGTTGGTGAACTGCCTCCATTGGACTGGCCTGTGGCCATGTCTGTGGGGCATTTTCTTGATTGTTGAGTGATATGAGAGAGCCTAGACAACTACGGGCAGTGCCATCCCTGGGCAGGTGGGCCTGCGCTGTATAACAAAGCAGGCTGAGCACAGGCCAAAGCCAGTAAGCAGTTTCCTCCATGTTCTGTGCTCCAGGTTCCTGCCCTGAGTTCCTGCCTTGGCTTCCCTTGATGATGGACTGTGCTGTACAAGCCAAATAAACCCTTTTCTCCCCAAATTTGTTTTGGTCAGTGTTTCTATCACAGCAATTGAAAGCAAACTACAACACCAACCTACCAGGCAAGATGTGTCCACAGGTGCAATAGTGGCATGACTGTTATGGGATCAGGACCTTGGGATTTATCTCTGGGTGTTGGGACAGTCCTTGCAGAGTTAGAATGTGAACAAAGCATACACATGTAGGTGTTATGTGTGAGTTTGTGCTCTGCACCAGCTATGGATCTCAGGCCCAGCTGTTAGACACAAGGGGTGAGGATGTTAGAGGGCCTGTGAGGCAACTGAGGGCATGATCATGGGGACTGAGCTTTGCATCTGTTTGGTGATGGGTTAGGGCTTGTTGTTGTACAGGGAGCTGCTGTTTGCTGGGCCTCATCCAGGGGCCTGGGCCTGCTGTTACCTGGTTGCCTCTTGGCCACCACTTCTGCTTGAGGCGCTGTAGTGACACCTTGAGATATACGTCTGTTTTCCCTGTTAGCTGCAGGAGCCTGGCATGCCAGAAAGGAAGAGTGCTAACCCATGATGCATGTGGTGCTGCTAATGTTTTACATGCTGTGCTGTGATACACAGAGTCCTGCTTCTAGCTTACCTACTGTCCCATGATTTTTTTCACCCTGGCAGCAGAAGCTCATTCCTCTGCCAACAGTGGAATCCAGTGTTTCATTTCTCATACTTAGAATTAGGGTCATTTTTGACCTCCTGCAACACCAGCTGGCCTGCACCTTTCCTTTTGGGTGGGGCCACAGGCCTACCCTTACTATCACTCCCCCAACCCAGGCCTACCCCCTTCCAAATTAAGAGGGTCCAGCCGGAGTTAAGGAGGACCTTCCTCAATCCTCAAGCCACATTTTCTCTGGGTGCTCCTGGCTGCCTAGTGCTCACCCCTCATTAGCAGCTAAGTGCTTTGTGTAGAAGTTCCATAGAGCATACATCCCCTGTTCATTGGCTGCCTTGGTTCCTTCTCTGCTGGTTCTTGTGGTAGGGGTGAGGTAGGGACAGCAGACTGTAGATGACACATGGAGAGTGAAGGAAACCCCAGAGTGGGTTGCCACTGCTCTCCAGGCAGAGGCAGTGCTGGCCTGGGTGGTGCAGCAGACTCCTGATTCAATGTGACTTCAGATAGTGGGTAAGGCCAGACGACTACTGCCCTTCCCAGGTACACTGGGCTAGTGACGGACTCTGAAACAGCTCTGTACCTGCATCACATCAAGATGGCACTGAGATTAGGTCATTCCACTCCCATTTTACAGGGCTGGCTTTTGAGCCACCAGACTGTGAGGAAGCATGATCTAGCTTACTCCCTTCCTGGGTGACAAGTGACACTTAATACACCTACTCTGCTCAGTCAAGGCACTTTTCTCCTCTTAAAAATTCTTCCTATCCATTATGTCTGTCTGAGGGTGCTGCTCAAGGCTATGCTATAGCATGACCCCATGTGCTGGCTGCAGTGGGCTCAGCTCCCCACTGGTGTGGCCTCAGGGACTCACCAGCCTTTGAGAACCATGTGGTGCTCTTGGATGGGAGGTGTTATGTTAGGAAAAATAGTTCTGAGGTTTTCTTATGGGGAAATAACTGGTTTTACTTCCCGAAAATAAACATCTGATGGATATGTGATGGAATGTGAGGCGAGAGGGTGAGGTCACGGAGGTTTATACCATGCTTAGTGACTTGTTTTCTGAAGATGCCACTTACATTTTTGTGCCTTGACACAGGGCATGTCAGAGTGGTCAGACTTACCACAGCCATTGTGGGTCCTGCCCAGTTGCACTTGACCCAAATGCCACATTTTCATAAAGTTAAAAACTAGGCCGTTTCTTACTCTGTGAAGTTTAGGACCATTATGACTACTCCAGTCAGCACCCATGAGGCGGCTCCTGGTGTTCCCACCCACCACCTGGAGCACGGTTCTGAGACTGGCCTCTAGTTGTTAAGGTGGACAGGAAGGTTTTAAGAGTGCTGTACAAACCAGGCTGATGGCAAGACTTTCCTGCTATGCTATGTATTATTAAATGACTCACTTTTGGATTGAAAATATATGATTTTTAATGGTTTATTGATTTCTTTAAATTCATACCAGTATTTTTCTTATTTCAAAAAACTTGACAGATGTTCTAATTTCCTTTTTTTAAAAAATATTTTTATTTTAGTGTATGAGTGTATTGCCTGCATGTATGTAAGTACACCTGTGTTGTGCAATGCCTGCAGAGTTCAGAAGAGTGTGTCAGATCCCCTGGAACTTGAGTTACAGACAGTTGTTGGCTGCCCTGTGGATGCTGGGAACCGAACCTGGGTCCTCTGGAAGAGGAGCCAGTGCTTGGAAGTGCTGAACCATCTCCAGCCCTGTGGAGTATATTTTAATGCTTGCCCTGTACACGGTCTGGCCTTTCTCTGCTGTTTCTGCTGTGACGTTCTCTCTTCATCCTGCAGACCTGGCAGTGAAGTGGTGGCTGCCTCTATCTTGTGACTTTCTGTGAGACCAAGTGTTCAGATCCCTGAGCCTATGAATAGTTTATGTTTGCTAAAAGGATGAAGGGTTAAAAAAGTGTTTAGAATGCTGCCTATCATAGGGTATGTGACTTGTTAGTACTGAACTTATATAAGCCTTTATTTCCTGTTTGTAAATAAAAAATGACTTCTATGTACGTCCTTCATGGAATTTGTCTTAATATTTTAGGTAAATGTGACACAGTAGGAGACAGGAAATCTTATGAATCATAATGCATTTGAGGAATGTTTTGAGCCACAATGGCTGCTCTGATTGGTTCCATTGCTTCACATTGCAACCTTTCTGATTGCGGCCTAGGAGAGGCAAGCCCCTCAGAGTCAGGGCCTGGACTTGTAGAGTCCTTTTCCCCACTGATGCGTGGGATGCCAGGGCACATTCGGATTGCATGTGTCTCATCAGCAAAGCACCTGCTCATGTATTTTAGGGTATGCTAATGGGCAAATAAATAACTGAAATAATTGACTGCTGATTAAGGAGGCCATTTATCATTATTTTTTATTAAATACAGCTTATGATCAATACTATAAAATCTTTGGTGTGTAAACATGTTAGTCTTTTCATCCTTCAACATTTTTTAGCTCTGTGACTCTCAAGGGTATTGCATCTGGAGGAAACACACATTCACTGCTAAGGTTAGAATGTACCTGGCTGGTTACTGTGTGGACTGGTATTGCTTAATCGTCGGGTCATTAGTGATCTCATTTCTGTAAGTGTTACTGTGTTCACTCAGGCTAAGATGCTACATCATTACTAGGCCATAGCTTGTGGGACCCTGTTTCCTGTGCACTGTTACTACCTGTAGGTTACTATGCAATGATACACATTGAAGTTTTAAGAGTAGCATTCTAAAATTGTTATTAATAAAAAGGGTTTACATTCATTTCCTACTTTACATTCAAGTGTTGTTAGGTGTCATTAGCCTTTAAAAGTCCATCTTGGGGCCAGTGAGATGGCTCAGCTGGTAAAGGCACTTGAGGCTAAATCTGATGACATGAGTTCACCCTGGCCCCAGGTGGTGGAAGGAGAGAACTGACCCCTGCACTTTGTCCTCTGACCTTCACACGCAAACCACATATGCTCTGCCCGCCAATAAATAGAATATGAAAAAATAAAAGTTTATATTGATTTTTTCCCCTTCCTATGACAGGGATCATCATTCACGACTTAACAGTCCCTAGCATATAATCTTTTCCTGACCACAGCCATTGGTGATGGGATTCACCTGTGGGACTTGAGGACCTTGAGGTAAGGCCAACCTGCATTAAGGCACTACCCTAGGGAAACAGAGCTGGCAATGCAACCTGATCCAAGTTAGAAATAATACAAGGTTATGGCTAATCTGGACACACTTTGGAGAAACCTGGCTTGTAGGCAGAGTTGATGAAGTCAGTTTTGGATCGTGAAACCACAGGTGCTAGTCTGTTTTCTGAGGGCCACACAGTTCAGAGGTGTGTGAGGCAGTGGGTGCTCTTCAGTTACAGACACCCCAGGTGGGTCTGCTCCTTTTCCCGTCATGTGTCCCACCTACACTGGATGACAGCACTGAGCTCACACAGCTTCCTCTTGGAGGCATGCTGACGATGCTTCACAGCTGGGCTGCTTTTTCTACTTTACTGGGTCATGTCCTTGTGAATGCATTTCTTAAGATACGTTAAAATGAATTAACAAGCAATTACTGTATTTTATAATCATATGTAAAATACAAAATCTTATCTAAGTATATGTCTTTGTCTCCTGATAATTATAGTATTTCAACTATCACTGTACAATGTATATACAGTGTAATAAAATTGACATATTAATATATGTGTGTACTACACATATTCATAAGGAAAAAAACTAGCAGTTGCTTGCTCTGCTCTCTGTTAGTAGGATGAATCTAAAAGCCCCAATTGTGTGTGGTGTGGATGAGACCCTGCCTAGCCAGCATATGCCCCATGGCACTCACTAGGTATTGGTTGTGCTTGTCAAAGGCTCTCTTAGAAGACTCTGGCTACTCCTAAAAAGTGTTTATTCCAATAAAATTGCACATATTCATTGACATGTTTTTCATTCTCACTGCTATACCACCAACGCGGACTTTCAGGGAACAAGTTTTATGTAGCACTTGATAAGTGGTTGTGAGACTCAGCCCTCTAGCTTGTGTAGAATGCAACATGTTTATATTAAAAATGTTAGCAATATCTAGAAAGTGCTTGTTACTCAATATTTCTCACATATAAAGGTTCATTTGCTCTCAGTTTTGTCACATTTGGGAATTTATGATTTTGAAGAGTTTGAAGAGTTTAAAAGTCTCCTTATACTCTGATGTCCCTGCTACTGTCTGCTGTGTTGTCGGCACCCCCGACCATTCCCCACTACTTGCCCTTCTGGTGAATCTAGTCAGCCTATCTAGAGGTCTTTGTTTAGGAAGGTTAGCTGTTCCTCATCTAGCAGTAATCAGTTGTCAGTATTTCTTTGGATAAAATTAGGGTCTGCTGTTCATTTTCCTAGTTCTATGCTGGGTTACTATCTGGGAGTCCCTTTGGCCACTCTGGCCAACAACTCAAAAGAAGGTATCGCCTGTCTGGCATTGTTCCTTGTTATGTAGCCTTTAGCTATACATATGGACTCTTAAAAAATTATATTGGCCCCTTTAATCTTTGGTTATACTTTCCTTTTGGGTGTTTAAGGCCATACAGTTGGCCCAGATAAACCAATTTATTTTTACTCTTATATAACTGTTAATTCAACTGTGAACCTAGAAACTTGCACACACTTGTGAAAGAGATGTACTGTTGCTCTGGAGTGTGTTACTGAATATGTTAAAGCTGTAGTGAAAAGCTAATCATGTAGTTATTAAAAATTAAAAAAAATTGAAAAATAATAATTCTTCAAAGCATAAAAATTTTCTCCTTAATAATTAGTAGGTGTGAAAAACATTATCATTGAAATCTACCTGATGACTTTATATCCATGCTCAGATGCCAAGGAGCTCAGAAAGTAACCGACTGTGACTAGTAATAATCTGATATATAGAGATTAGAAACGCATGTGCAAACATCTTAATGTCAATTGCATTAAAAATGAATTTTTCTGTATGAAACTGTGTATTTTAATAGTGAAATGGAGATCTTTTTTAAAGGTTAAAACCTCATTTAATTTTATGTCTTATAGGGTTTATACTGAGTACAATATTGTATAACTGTAATAATTCAACTGTAAACCTAAAAATGTACAGCCAATTTTGTAAGAGATGCAGCCTAGGTCAGAAAATTGTTATTGCATATGTCAATGCTGATGTAATGATATGCTTCTTCTAAGTATGTGGTTAATTAAAAAATTTTTTAAAAGTCTCCTTAATTATTTACCATTTAATTATTCTCACATATAAATATTTTTTGAGGCTGTAGCTCAGTGGTAGAGTGTTTGCCCAGCATGTATAAGGATGTGGGTTTCACTCCCAGGTCTGCATACAGACATAAAAGAAAGACTTTTCGCTGTTTGTTCATTCTTATGAAGGAAAGCAACACGTTGGTGCTTTCCTTCTAACGTAAGGTACAACTATTTACTGCCCAGCTGTCTGCTGCCACTGTTGCAGGTGTGTGCGCCGATTCGAAGGGCATCCAAACCGTTCTTATCATTGCGGAGTTGCTTTCAGTCCTTGTGGATGGCTCGTGGCCTGTGGTGCAGAGGACAGACATGTATGTAAGTGTGCCTGCTCTGAGTCTAAGGTCTCAAGGTACATTATTGCATAGACTTTCAGCTCTATTGTGTACTGGGATAAAAATCTATTTCAAGCCCGACTGTCAGTATTTTGAGACTCTTACCTGGTAACAGAACTTCATAACAGTAACCTATGACCTTGAAAGGCTCATTTTTTTTTTTCTGAATTATGGCACAGATAACATCATTCATTTATTCGTCACCACAGATACCTAGCGCATACTCATAAAGACAGTGCGATATACAGTGTACTATCTTTGAAGGGTGAGATGGTGATATTAAGTCCATAAAGTGTAGCTCATGAGTGTAACATGTATTCCTCATGGGAAGTGCCAGGGAACCAGGCACTTCTCCCAGTGCAGCTGTCACCCCTCCCCACCACCATCCTCCATGCCAGATCCACACCTCCTGGATTTTTGGAACACAGAGGTCTTATAGTGTCCCAGGGTTGTACAATCCATTGCCACACAGCTGGAGCCTAAGCCCATAGGATCAATTATATCCCTACTGTTTTGGAGGCTTTGGGCTGGACAGGCTGGCCCCCTCATGTGGTCTTGGTGCTCCTTGGCTGGGTGCTATGCCAGCCCCTCTTTTTCCACATGACCTTTCTCCTTTGTGTGCCTCAAATTGCCTTATTCTCTCAAAGGACACTTACTGTGGGTCGAGTGTTTGTATCCTACAGAGTGTCCTCATAAAAACCCATGTTGAAATTTAATAGCATTATGACAAGGCGTTCTAGTTTGTCTCTCCATTGCGGTGACAAAACACTCTGACCACTACCAACTTGGGGAGGAAAGGGTTTATTTGTCTTACATCTCCCAGGTCACAGTTCATCAGGGAGCCCAAGGTAGGAACTCAGGGTAGGAACCTGGAGACAGGAGCTGGAACACAGGCCATGGAGGAACGCTGCTTACTGACTTGCTCCCCTGGCCCCTGCTCAGTTTGCTTTATTATGTAACACAGGCCCACCAGCTCAGGGGTGGCACCACCCACAGTGGGCTGGGCCCTCCCACATCACTCGACAGTCAAGAAGATGCCCCACAGACATAGCCACAGGCCACTCCAATGGAGGCAATTCCCCAACTGAGGCTTCCTCAACCTAGGTGTGTCAAGTTGACACTAAAGCTATCCAGCACACAGAGTTCCACTTGCATGAATGGATTAGTCAGAGGATGAGTTCAGTCCCTTTCGTCTTGACTGTGGGGACTTTCGCTTTCTGCCATGTGAGGACAAAGCACCAAGGACCTGGCCAAATACCAGGGTCTTGACCTTGGACAGCGAAGCCTCTAGTGCTATAATTTCAGCACTTGGGAGGCTGAGGCAGGAGGATCATTGCCAAATTTGAAGCAACCTGGGCTACATAATAAGGCCCAATCTTAAACAACCTCTACTAGGTAAGTAACTCACAGGCAATATACTTTCCTGTAGAAAGTGCTTTTCTTTAATTCTTTCAAAAGTTTTCTCCAAAAGAAAAATTAAATGAAAAGGGATAATTTTCAAAGAAGAAAATAAGGAAAGATTTCAGGTTTTTTTCTGCAGAAAACACCAGGGGATTTGTTGGGGGATTTTTACCAAAGTTTCGAAAGATCAACACATCTCAATAATATAGGTTTCAAGGCATAGATATCTAAGGAAAGCATCCTGGTTATTCTTTTTCAGTGGATATAATTGATGTGCAAACTTTTGACTTTTCTGAGAACGACTGCATTTAACTTGTGAATATCAACTAAAAACTCTGAAGTGAAATAGGAACAAACAGCACCTGACAGCACATTGATAGTGTTGTACCACAGAAAGAGGGATTTATTCCAAGGAATGCCAAATGATCCAATATCAAGAAACCTATTAGTAAATTTATCATATTAATAACCAACTTGGAAACAATCATATAGCCATCTTCATAGATGCAGAAAAGCCATTTAAGTGGAATTCCAGGTGTATTTCTGATAATCATTCAATAGAAGCAAATACATCAATATGCTTCTTTTAAATGATAAGCCACTTAGCTCAAAGCCAGCATGTTCCTAAAAAAAAAAAAATGGAGGCAGTCCATAGCTGGGGATGAAGAGTAAGAACTGATGCTGAATTGTATGACTGTTTAGCAGGACGCACTTGCCTGCCCAATTAGACAAGATCACAAAAAGATCACAAAAAGAAGATCACAAAAAGAAGCAGACCCAAACTTGAAGGCCTGAGTCTCACACAAGAATCAGAAACTACAAAAGAAATTCACATGTCAAAATAACAAGAGAAAAAATAATAACATGAAAAACCAAAATTACATTAGCCCCACCAAATACCAATAGTCCCCTAGAGGAGTACAATGAGAACACCCTAGAGATAATGCAGGACATGGAACTCAAAAGAACAATTATAAACATGATAAAAGAATTCAGTGAATTTAAAGAACACACAAAAA